CTATTTTCTCCACTCTCCCCTTTCCCTTCAAGGGACTGAGCCGTGGTCTCGCAAGGAAAGATAGTGTCTTTTTTTTTTCAACCACACATTCATCCATTCAGGGGAAGCTTGCATGCAGTAACTGGTTTGGAAAGCAGGTAAGGTTCGCTGAAAGTCACCTCACCTACCCTGATTTCTTCCGGGTCAACACTCTCGAGGTGCGCCAAAAGAGGCGACAACACGAAAGTCATACTTCGAATTCTTTAGGGCTGTTGGCTCCCCTCGTCGAAAACTCTTTGGACACGCCTGACTGACTGACGGCCTAGGAAGAGCTGTCGAAAATCGAGGCAGCTTGATTAGTTCGACGTGCCACGAGACGCGCTGAATAATTAGCCGAGAGGTTGGGATTCGTCGTCAGGTATGTTTCCCACACTCAGTGGTGCTTTCAAGTCTTTCACTCTCCCACGCCCTAGCCTGCCTAGCGCTGCAGGCCCTATTCTGCACGTGCGATGCAACGTTATCGCACTGTGCTGTGTTGTGCGTATTATTGCATTATGACCTACGTTGTGTTTCTCTCTCGCCGTGTGACGAACTGAACGTGCATCCTTTTTATTTCCTGGGTTGAAAAGAAGGCAGTGTTTGACTTTCTCTCTATTTCTCCTTCTCTTTTTTTATCTTTATTCGCTGCGCTGTGCTCCCTGCTGGGCTGCAGAAATTAGGCGCCTTCTTCTAACCACTACCCCCACCATTTGGGGGACGGAGATGAAGACGACAATTTATTTGGACTGCCCTGATGAGCCAAGATCTCCTAGGAGACAAGACAAGACAAGACTGCCCTGGACTGAATGGACATGCAGTCTGTCCATTTACAGTGATCTGCAAGGCGGCTTTCCTGTAAGGTTTATTTTCTAGCCCAAAACTATCGTTCACAGACTGCTTTTCTCTCTCATTGTGTCTTTACCTCTTCGAATTCCAGCGAATGCACGCGAGCACGCGAGTACAACAAAATGTCACCTCTCCAAATTCCAGCAAAGGCACGCGAGCACAAGATCTCGAAAAGGTGAATGGCAAAAAGAAAATGAGCGAGAAAAGCAGTCTGTGAACGAGAGTTTATGGTTGGGAAACTAACCTTACCGAAAAGCTGCCTTGCAGATTATTGCAAACTGTCTATTGTTTTCTCCTGCAGAGAATTTTAGGAAGAACACGGCTTAAAACGCGAGCACCGAGACGCTCTGAACCAGCTCTCAGAAGCTCTCATCAAGCTTCCATGATGCTACCTTTAGTGTGTAAATAGTGAACATAAACGTTGCTCTTATCAGCCCCGGCTACTCTGCTTGACTTCTACCTGAGACTTGGCTAGCTCCTTCGAACACATCACGAGCAAGCAAAAGGGCACGGAGTTGTAAAGATGAAAATGTGCAACATCCCATCGCTTTTATTGCGTGACCTGTTCGTTCTCCGCCGCATTCGCCCGATCGTGTCCACATATAACTTTCCAGTTTTATAGCGACGACACACCGTTGATTGCGGTCACGCCATTGAATGTCATTTAAACAGCGGTTGCATAATTTATTTGCAAATTACTTCTTCATAAAGTATGGTGAAGTAATTTATTAATTGGCCACCTGAGGAGCTTTCTAACTTGACTTGTTTTTTTATCAAGACTTGAATATAATGTTAAATTTTATTTGGTTGACTCTGAGCATTACCTTCGCAACAGCAGTACATCTGTCAGCGACAATCATTCTTAACCTCTCCCAGTGCCAGTAGGTCCGTTCAAGTTACGTGATGAAAACCAGTTTGCTGAACTATGTCATATATGACATGTCGCTCAAATGTCGGTCTCATGCATTTTTGATGAATCCAGCCGTCTTTTGTAAATTGTCTACTGGCAAGTTTTTAAAATTTTGTTTTGTTCTTTTTAAAACTGGTGGTCTCAGACAAGCTTATTACGCCTCTTTTCACCACTGGATAGCCGTTGTTACGCGCGGCGCCTGGGCCGACGGGGGAGGGCCGCGTTCTTTGTTCATCAAACAAGTCACCGAAGGGCTGCCAGCCTGCTGTCCACCGTGTACTGTCCATCTTAGCCGGGAAGTAAGGTGGCATTCCGACACCATAAGACGTTCGACGAGACGACCACAATGGTTTCTTGGTGTCACAGGTGCAGTGAGGTGGCCACGCCCCTATCAAAGACCTTGACTGTAGCGAGTGTGAGCGGCACCGTCAGAAGTGGTGTGTGTGTCTCGTGATTCAACAGCGCATTCTGGACCGATTCCCTGATTAAGTCAAAACGTACACTTTATAGTGAGCCACCCAGCTCATTCGCAAGAGACCTCTCGCCCTGTCTGTACAGAAGGTAATAAATACTCTGTTAAGTTTGCCATCTTACTCCTGAGTGCACATGCGTTTTCTTTTCTGTCTCTCTACACGCCCTTTCTTGCCCCTATTTCTCAACCCTCAGTGCTAGGCAGCGAACCGGATGCCAAGATATGGTTAATCCCGCAGCCTTCCTTTCTCTCTCTTGCCATCTTTCTGCCTTGGCATCTTCATCCCGGGTATACAATGTCTTAAAAACCGGTACAAACAGACAAGTTAATAAAACAGATGGTGAATGTTTTCTGCAGCATGTTCAGACGCTGCATATAAGTGGTCATCCTCGAAAATTATCAACTTTAACACCGGGGACAGGTGCTGATATACCCTGAGTAGGTTCGAGCATGTATTATGCCTCGACGCTTTTAATCTTCATTAAACTTCTCCCTTTCAATTTCATCCTTCGGGGTTTTGTGAAGTTCTTCATTTAACGCCTAACCTCCATGTCCTTCCTCATTTATTCCTCCTCCTCCCTTCATCTAACGCGCTGCATTCGTGCTGCACTGCTACCACTTCATTTTTTCTTTATGTACGCCCTGTTTCGGGCACAATTATAGGCTGCCATCTTGGACTGATAATGATGCCGTTTTCCATCCGTATGAATATTCGAATTGTGCTATGGCGAACTCGCACGCATCAAAACGCTGGGCCGTTACATTCAACGTCGTATCACCATAATCATAGCTAATTACGACACAAAAAACAGATAAGTTGCTTCTAAGCCTAAAATGGCAGTGTCTATGCTTTACTGTAACTGTTACATTTATTTTTTGTCAATTTGTCCAATATGTCAGTTCATGCAGCGGCCGTCGAACTCGTTCCGCTGTTCATTGTGGTACTCTCGGTCTCTGAAGCTGGATGAAGATAACTAAGAAGCCTGGTTTTTACTGGCTACATAAAATGTGAAACGAAGCTATAAATCACGATGAAAAAGAAGACAAATCTGGGGAAAGTCAGTACTGGCGCATAAATGGCGCGCCGATTGCGCCAATGAAAAACGTCGGCGGCGGCGGCGCGCCGACCAGTCGGCGCACATCTCTAAAGGTTGCTAAACACACTACTCTATATTCTAGAAGCCGCGATGAAGCCGGAAGTCAGCCATATTGACTAGGCAAATTCTCCTTTCTTGTTTACATATGAATGCGAAGCAGAAGGCGCGACTCCCTCTCCGGCTCGGAAAGCACGTGGGCTGCGCAGCGCGTGTGTCGTGACGATCCGAAACTAATGAAACTGGGCTCATAACTCTGAGCCAACGGGACACCTTCAGCGAAATCGCTTCGTCCGAGTAATAACAGGGAGTAACAGCTCGCCGACAACGAAGCAACTACGAGAGAACGCGCGCTAGATGCACTGACAACGGCGAGTGCTTTCACGTCATTAATTCAGCAACTGTACAGACAACACGATCGGTCCTGCGCCTTCTACTGTTGCATTCCTCCACGCGGCCGACGCAGTGTCCGGCCACTGTGTCCGTGTTTCGCGTGAAACTCACCTGCATCAGCATTCTGCGACCGTGGTGACTGAGCACAGTGCTAGTGACAGTTCAACGTGGTTGCTGTTACGTTGAGATTACATGCAATGCTGGTGGAGAGTGTACCAAGCGGAACAGAAAAGGTGTTTTAATACGCACATGCAAGTTGTTACTGTACACACACAACACGAAACTACGTATGCGCACATGGTCCTCACGGCGTCTTGCTGAGCTCAACAGCGCCGTCCGTTGTCACAAGCAGGAGCTCTGCTCAACCGTCACTGACCTGCAAGGCGTTCGTCGTCATTCAGCTTGGTCATGGTGACCAACGCAATTTCGCTGAACACTAACTGCTTCATCCGCGTCATCCGCCGCACGACACATGGATATGCACTTGTTCTACGCACTGTTGAAACCCCGTGATGGATAAAGGGATTTGTAAACGTTGATAAGAGTAATGTAAAAGCCAGGAGAACACTGCGTAACCAATAACGCGGCGCAGAGCACAGATATTGTCCGCCACGGCTCAGCACGAGACCTGGGGAGGCACACATTCTGCCGCCAGCCGCGGCCGCTCACTGCTAGACCAGCTCCACTGCGCAACACGTAACCATAACAACGCCGCCATTGTGCCTAGTGAATATGGCAGCCATGATGTCATTTCCGCCACACTTTTTACGCCCTGCGCCGGCTAGGCATGCCCTCTCCTAACCTTTTTCCTTCCTCTGTGATATTCTAGAACACTATAAGTCCGTTCGATTCACCTGCACCGGTCGGAACCAGTTCATGGCTGTGCACGCGAAGTTCAGAAATTGTTCAGTGTGAGTTCAGCGGTGCAGGCACAGCACGACACCCGAAACAAATGACGATGTGCCGACAAGGTGTTGGCCTTATTTCTTTTCGGTTAATTTACACCGTTCAGCAAACACTGACCTATGGCGAAACGCACATGCGGACAGTTTATGAGGCGCGAACATCTTGGCAAAACACACCGCATTTGTAGAGGCGGGTACGGCGCCTAAGCCACCTACGTCTAAGTGCTGCGTCGTCTGCTCAGCTGCACGCGCGCCTGCACCAAGCCGGCACCGTCAGCGAAGGACGTGCAGAAAAATCGTGAACCGGTGCTGCACCTATCCTGCGCCTTTCGAAACGATTGGCAGGGTTCAGTGGTCGTCAATGCTGCACCACTGAAACAAACGGCAAGGTGCAGCAGCTCGTGAACTAGGCGAATCGAACGGACGTTATACTTGGCCCTACTCCCCTCCCGTCCGGAACCAAGCCAGGAATCCGAAAATCGAATAGGTTTGTTCGCCCTCAATCTCGGAAGCCGCAGCCGGCATGTCGGCAGCGCGTGTCTCGAAGAGTCTTATGTTCCATCGAGTTTTATAGGTACTGCCCGTGCTGGCATGTGGCGCGGCGCTTTATTGAAGCGCATCTCGCCGCTGAACACCATCGCATTTGAAGGGAGCACTCGCGAGCGCCCGTTGTGATGCGGCTGGACCACGTAGCTGCCGTACTCGAGCAGCTGCTGTCACCCGTGGGCATCGAAACATATCCTTTCAAGGTAAGGCGGTCTTCACTGACTGCGATCAACCATTTAAATGTCGCACAGTGACTGACGCTTTTAAAGACAGGCCAGGAGCGTACGCCTTGAGGAAATCAGTCAGTCGCATATTTCAAGGCCACCTCGTGTTTTGACGGGTGCCGATAACGGCTTTGTTTACGTGATGAGCCAGATTGTTACTTTTCAGATATTGTGGTACAACGAGCGCGTGCCGGATGCATTCAAGTTCCCGCACCAGTCGGACACCCTGTGCTTCGTGGCCCTCAGCACACCGTCGACGTTTGAAAAGGCATTCTTGCCATTCATCCTGGACAACCGGAACTCTACAATCAAGGACCCCTACGATCAGTGCATGACGGCCTGCTTTGCCAGGGTCAAGCAGGTCAGTTATCAGATTTGACACACATATATTCCTTCTCGCAGGTTGTGTTTTATTCACAAGAGGTGGCATAACTCTTGCGAGATGACTACTGTGCAAGCTAGATTACAGCAAATCCCGCAGTGATCAGCAGCATCTAGAAGAGCCAAGGTAGAAGCCATGGAGTTGGTTATACGTACTGTGAAAGTTTTGGGCGTTACATTGGCCAAACAGGTCTATGCATTAATGATCGCTTGAGGAAGCTTGCAAAACGCTCCGTTCCCAGCTACTTGGTGGACCATTGTAAAAAGTGTGGTTGTCAGCCAATTCTTGACAAGTGTGTGATTATGGGGCGATATAAAAATGAGCGCGAGATTCGCAAAGCGTTCCACATTCAACGATTTGGTGCTTCCTGTGTTAGCGACATTTGATTTTTTTTTTTTTCACGGCTGTGAAATTAGTTATCTAGGGTCTACTAGCTCTTGATAAGGTAGGCCGTTTGGCACATGTATGTGCGATTTTGCTGATGTTGCGTAGTGCGCAGATTCTGTTTTCCTATTATTTCAGTTGGTTTGCAATAAACTTTGGTTGTTAGTTCAGTGCACTGATCACTTCTATCCCATCCTGTTGTTTGCACTGTTAAGCACTTTTTCCTCTACCATGCACGCTACTAATTAATATTGCTCACAACATTTTTCTTGTAAGGCGCAAAACGTTTTCGCTGTCTGCAGCATCGCGAGTGCTACATGCATAGAGCAGCTAGACTAGGCCCCGCTTATTTGGCACTTAGTATTTGACGCAATTGAATGGCGTAAAAGTAATCATTATCAGCCTGACTACACCCATAGCAGGACAAAGGCCTCTCCCATGTTCCACTAATCAAACGGGCTTTTGCTTGCTGCTGTCACGTTGTATTCTCAAACTTCTCAATGTCATGGGCCCGTGTAACTTCGCTTCATGCATTTGCCTTCTGTTGCAATCTACTCAGTTACCCTTAATGACTTACGGGTACCCTACCAGCGTGCTATGTTTCTTGTCTATGTTATCCATTTCTTCATCTTGATTTCAACCATGATGTCCTTAAAGGGGTCTTGCTGCCAATTTTGTGTTGTGGCCTGCACGTTATTTGCTTCAAGGGTTTCTTACAGCTCCAAAAAGCATGACACATGCACCAAAATTATGACCAAATAATATATATTACCTTATTCATGTGCACAACTTTCAGTTCTGGGTGCCAAGTTGGGCAGTGTCGTAGCAGTGTAGGTGGCTCGGTCATTTGACCACACAATTCTGTCATGCACGTCATGCCGAGTTTCATCTACTCTCTCACACACATGCCACACAAGCACTAGCAAAACAATGCGCCTACAGTTGCAATGGTTAGCTGCAGCGCTGCGAGTGATGTAGCAACCGATGTCTTGCCGGTCTGGAGGTCACTCACATTGCTAGAGATCTGGTGTGTCATCACTACAACTTTTATTGCTCGTCCTAAAGAGCTGTGTCATTGTTGGATGCGGTAGCGATGGGTTTTGATTGAGAAAATAAACATTTAGGTACCCTTTGAAAGAGGATTAAAATATAATCTAAACATTTAACTGGCTTTTCATTTGGGCTGTCCTTGCATATACAGGAAACCCATAACGGGCTTGTTATAGCCTTAAAATTTGATGGCACGACCTCGTTGGCTCCCTGACCCACTCTGCTCTCTTCAACACTCGTTACCTCAGATCATTTCCTTACCTTACAGAAAGAGCTCTTCATGCTTCCTCACTTTAAGGAGTTCCTTGAGGGATCCAGTGTATTTTGAAAGCTTCCTTCAACCTTCCTTTGCTAATGGACGCTTCAGTAAGATAAAGTGCGTGTTTCACTTGTGTGGTACCAAGAGTAGCTGTGAAATACAGGCTAAACATCCGTTTTGAATGCGAAGCATTTCTTAACGACCTTCCGCGATTTGGAGCGTATCTATCTATCTAGCCGCGTACGGCCTTTCTCTCCTGGCCGTTTCGATAATGGTATCGATACCAAATCTGGTATGGGATAACATGATCATATGAAGGACATATTTGACTAGTCATAACATGAAAATCATGACATGTGTCATGAATGTCATGATTTACATTTCTTAGTCCTGCAGCTCTTGCGGTGATTTCGTCCACATGGTATGTTGCAAAACTGCGATGGTGTCGCATGATTGCATGGCGAACACAATCGACAGACCCTAACATGAAAATCATCACATGCACGTCATGTAACAACATGACTAACGTGCCTCGCTCATGATGTGCTCGCGGCTGTTTCGCTAGCTTCACATATACCAAATTTGGTATTATAGTACGTGAATGGATGATGAAGGTATGTGACTGGTGTTAACATGATAATCATGACATGGATGTCATGTAACAACATGACTACATGCCACGCTTATGATGTGCTGGCGGACGTTTCGCTAGCTTCACTTATACCAAGTTTGGTAATAACAGACGTAAATGGATGACGAAGGTATGATACTGGTGCAAACATGATAAATATGAGAGGTGCGTCATATAACAACATGACTACATAATACGCTCATGATGTGCTCGCGGCCATTTCACCAGCTTCACATGTGCCAAACTTGATATTACGCGACGCAAATCGACGACATAAGTAAATGACACATTCAAACATTATAAACACGACATGCGTATCATGTAACAACATGACTACATGATACACTGATGATGCGCTCGCAGCCGTTTCGCTAGCTTTACATATGCTAATTTGGTATTACATGACACCAATGAATGACGAAGGTATGTGACTGTTGCAAACATGATAATCATGAGATGTCTACACGCCACAGTCAATGCACCAATACATTTTGATGTGACGCGGTGTGCATGCTCGCCTGTGTTCATTTTGTTGTGTAACACCGGCGTTGCCACGCGAGGCGTCGGTCCTGCCATATACTCGCAGGCGCGCGCCGTGCTGCGTTGCTATGACACATGCGCGTTTCAGCGTGTCCCGTGTCCCTTTGTCACGAAAATAGGAAGACGCAGTGTTATCTGGGTAATAGACCGGCGCGGAATGCAGCATTTCGCATTTCGTGCCGGTTGCCGTCGGGACGCGCTCACGGACGCTAGTCGCGCCTGGCGTCAGACTATAGAATGCTCGCATTCGCTAACGTAGTGTCACTGTGCCCAGCGTGCGCGCGCGTCAACGCTACATGAGAGTATATTGGGCCCTTCATGATGCGCTTGCAGCCGTTTTGATAGTGCCACATATACCAAATTTGGTGTTACGTGATGTCAATGAATGATGAAATATATGACTGGTGCAAACATGATAATCCTGACATGCGTGTCATGTAAGAAGATGACAACATACCACGCCCATAGGGTGCTCGCGGCCGTTTCACTAGCTCCACATATACTAAATTTGGTATCACGTAACGTGAATAGATGACGAAGGTAAACGACACATGCAAGCATGATAATAATGACACAGAAGTCATATACGGCATCATTTACATCCACCTCATAACGTTATGCTGATTTTAAGGTGACGTATAAAAATTTGTTAATTGTGCTTCGCATATCATCGATTCCCACTGTACGTGAAATCTGCCAATTTTTAAAGAAAGAGTGAATAATGTATTGTTCGTGCATTGTTGAATAATAAAGCGTACACTGATTTTCGTGATATGAATGCCCAGCCTTTCCCTTTTTAGCTGTTGCAGCACCGAAAAGAGGCATAGTCGAACACCCTTGAGGCTTGCTTTCATTGGTGCATTTTAACAGCCAGTTATATGGTAACGAACAATAAAGATCGCTTAAAGAATTGAGTAAATGGGCGAGAGAGATTTTCAGAACAGAGCAGTGCTAAGCATGTCCAATTTTCTGAGTTTGGTCTAATCTTATTTAGAATGTGGGAATATGTTTAAATTATCATGTTTACATTCAGAACAACGGTGCGTATATTGTGTCGTGCAGCATGCATATTCGAAGCGAAAATGCGGTGTCTCGAGTTTCTATTCTGATGTCAGAAATGGCCGGAATATTTTGAGAAAGTCCATTCATCTTGCCAAGAAACTTGAGGGCTCGCTTTCTGCAATGAGTATATTTGCTGAATCTGTGAACCAGGTGTAAACAAATTGTCCTTTTCTTCCCGCAGTAAACTTGTAAAAATGGGTATCGTTCAGGCTTGCTTCTTGAATGCGTTGAAGAAGTCCCACTGCCTCGGAGTAGGTGCCTGTTTTCAGGCAAAGGTCCCTCACCTGAAAGGCTCATCACGGCATATTCCTGATTTCAGTAGCCGAGTCGGTTCTCAGACAACTGAAAGCAGGTGGACCGTGTCATTCTTTCTTGCCCCGTAGAAGCTTTGCGATTTATCAAGAAGAAGCATTCCTACAAGGAATGAAGCCCTTTTAAATTAACCACAGGAACCAACTTGTGGTATGTTGAATTGGTGTCGTGTACAGAACTTCTCAAAACATTTAAACTCGTAGATCTTGGAACGATCAACCGTGAAAACATGCCAACTGTGTTAGGAACAAAAAGGAGGGTTTGCTGCACGTTTGCGTTTTCTGCGACCGTGGCAATTTTCTCGATGCGGACAACTGCACCTGCATCATTGTGGAAGAAGCTGGAATGGCATGCTCTGCTCACAAACTGCTTCGACATGCTGACAAGGTCACCAACCACACACTTGATCGCGCAGCGGCACTGCTTTCACTTTGTGATCAGTGAAGGAGGGTCGTCTGCTACCTCTGCACGCGAAACAGCGGGAAATTCGTTTCTGAATACGAGTACTTTATGCGTACTTCGTCAGTTTACGCGTACTTACATGTACTGCGTAATACGCGTACTTCGCGAGTTTCAGCCTGCTGAAACTCTCGAAGTACGCTCAAGCTTGCAGATGGTATCAGATTTTCATAGTCATGTTGATCACCTAAAGATATGCACGGGCTGTCATAGCAGCTTATTTCCTTTCATTTCAACCGCAAAATCCCTGAAGATTTGGAATGTGTGGAGGAGCACTGTCGG